CTCCCACCAAGCCCAGTGCCTACCACAAAGAAACATGCAATAAGTATTTGTAGAATGTTGCTTTTGAATGAAACAACAGAAAGATTCCTGCTACTGTCAGGACAAAGGCAAGGTTGGCATTGCCTACATTATTTATTATTATGCTTAAAATTCTAGATGATACAATAAGACATAAAACTTACATAAATGACTATTTGAAAGGGAAAAGTAAATTCATCATTAATTACAGACGATTATTTTACTTAGAGAATTCATAAGAATAGACTTGAAAACTAGTAGAATGCTTTAAGGGGCTCAGCAATTTAAACAGATTTTTTTAAAAGAGAAAAACATGGCAGCATTATAAGAAGAACATCATATTATTATTATATGATAAAATAATCATTCCACCAGCACTTCTTCTATACCATATGTCAGGCACTGTAATTAAGCACTTCTCCAACATCATCTTGTCAAATAATTGCATATAATCCTTTCATTGACTCTAATGAAGTAGGAATGGCTCTTCTCATTTTACAAAAATGAGCTTCTACAAACTTATGTAACTGACCCAAAGAAAGTGGTGGAAGGGGAGGAGGGCAGGGGGGGGTGAATGGGCAACGGGCACTGAGGGGGCACTTGATGGGATGAGCACTGGATGTTATTCTGTATGTTGGCAAATTGAACACCAGTAAAAAATAAATTTATTATTTAAAAAAAAGAAAGTGGCAGAGCTAGATTCAAAGTGGGGTCAGGCTTCAAAGTCCATGCATCTGCTACTAGCTTGTGCCATAGAAAATACGAAGGTAAAAATGAAAGGTCCCAAGTGCAACAAATGACATAAAATACAAAGAAACATTCTGGTGAGGAATGTTTATGATGCAGTAAATTATAGAACCTTAACAGGGAGTATTGTAGAGGTAAGCATATCTTCCAGGATGTGTATGTGTATAGGCACGCACACACATGTGCACACATGCAAGGCTGCACACATACACACATGCCCTCTGGAAGCTGGAAATTCAGTATGCCTAAATTCTTCATGCTTTCAAGAATTAAAAAAGAATTGCTTGTTGCCACTCCAGTATGAAAGCAGACTTATGAAAGCTTCTCAGGTATCAGCAATTATGACGAGTAGATGGATTTTGATTTCCTGTGTGATATGAAGACAAGTTAGAAGATACAAGTACACAGATTATCAGGATGTGACCAAAAGTTTATCTTTCCAGAAATCTGTGATTTGTATGTATTATTTTTCTATTATAAACAGGAATGTTGGGGAAATAGCTAGGTGCCTGGGGAAATTCTATTTTTCTGTGGTATTCAGTTAGGGCAGATCAGGGTGAGGGTTAAAACTGACATTCATAGCCACACATAAGTGGACTCATAGAGGTTGAGCCTCCGAGACAACATTAAAATGGGCCACAGAGAGCAAGTATCACTGCATGTAAGTAGCACAGTCAAGACAGGACAGGCAAAATAACCAAAAACCATGGTGCACCAAGTCAAGGACTGTGTCCTATTCATTTTATATCGCAATACTGGGCCCAGAACCCAGAGACATAGAGCCTAGCACAGAGCAGGCATGCAACTTCCTGCCTTTATAGAGGAGTTTGGTTTCAAATGTTAGGCCTTCAGTGTAATAGAATTTAGTAATCTATGTAAAAGGAAATTTTAAGCTTGAACCCACAAAGTTAAAAATATTACTTTCTGCCAAGTTAAAAAGCTTATTGTATGCACTTACGGTTCAACCCTTTCTGAAGAATGAGAGTTGTTTTCTGTTTTGGACCACGAGATGGGCTCTGAGTCTCAGTTTCCCTAACTGTAAAATTTGGGTTAGTGGATATCCAAAGTTCATTTAAATGATATTCTAGGATTAAGTAATATAATACACCCTCACGAGGCTCAACTGCTATTTAACTGGGTATTGAAAGATTTTCAAGTTGATCTCTGTTAAAATTTGTAAAATGTATTCTAGATGCACAAGAGGATGTCAGAAAATAAATTGAAACCCTCACACCAACCATCTGAACACTGAACTGCATGCACTTCTACCATGTTCAAGGCAGTTTCTCTTCTCACAGTGGGCCCAAAGGTCCCCAGTGTCACTAAGGATAAATTCAAGTAGCCAAGTTTCACAAAACTTGTATGTTTTATATGGATTCAAAGCTCATTCTATGGGATTCCTGGGTGGCTCAGTGGTTGAGCATCTGCCTTTGGCTCAGGGCATGATCCTGGAGTCCTGAAATCGAGTCCCGCATCAGGCTTCCTGCGTGGAGCCTGCTTCTCCCTCTGCCTGTGTCTCTGCCTCTCTCTCTCTTTCTGTCACTCATGAATAAATAATAAATATATAAATAAATATAAAAAATATATTAAAAAAACAAAGCTCATTCTAATACTTCGAGGTATATACCCAAGAGAAAAGAAAACATACATACATAAAAAAATATGTACCTAAATGATCATAGCAGTATTACTCACAACACCCAAGACATGCAAATAATCCCAAATTTCTAACTGATGAATGGATAAGTAAAATGTGGTATATCCATACAATATAATAGTATTAGTCATAAAAAAGGAACAGAGTACTGATTCGTGCTATAACATGCTACAATTTCAACTGGAAATATTCCACTAAGTGAAAGGAGACAGTCACAGAAGACCACCTATTATATGATTCCATTTATATGAAATGTCCAGAATAGACAGAAAATAGATTAGTGGCTGCCAAGGGTTGCCACTGGCAGGAAAAATGGGGGTTTGAGGAAAAATGGGGAATGGCTACTTACAGTTACAGGATTCTTTGGGGGATAAAACATTCTAACATTGATTGTAACGATGGTTGCACAACCTTGCGAATATACTAAAACCCACCAAAGTATATATTTCAAATGCATAAGGTGTATGGTATGTGAATTATATCTCAATAAAGCTATTACCAAGAAAAAAGGGGGAAAAAAGCCTGATTCCCATGTTCGGTCATTCTGGAGGTGGACCCTAGGGCCATAGGTTCATAACACCATAACAGATTTAACATTTTGGCATCAAAGCTTCAAATAAGAAAGAGGTCTAACAGACTCCACCAACTGGATCAGAATTAACCCAGTTGCATTTCCTTGGGTAATTCCAAGTACTCTGCTAGTTCCAACAACCCAACATATCATCCTTTCCCAAATCAAGGGGGAATTTTCCAGTCAGGGAAAGAATTAAATCAAGGATGACAGAGTACTAGACAAAATAGTAATTCTACCAAGGGCAACATTCAAAAGCTTGAGGGGCACCTCAATGGCTCAGTTGGTTAAGTGTCTGACTCTTCATTTCAGCTTGCATGTGATCTCAGGGTTATGAGATCAAGCCCCGCATCGGGCTCTTCACTCAGTGCAGAGTCTGCTTGAGATTCTCTTCCTCTGCCCCTCCCCCTGGTTCCCCTTTCTCTCTCTCTAAAATAAATAAAAAGTCTTTTTTTAAAAAAAGCTTGAGATGAACAGATTTGAGGGTGTGCAAGCAATAGTAGGATTTGTTTCTGCTTTCCATAATAAAAGACAAAGTTCCAGGCTTCTGGTGAAACCACAGGAATGTGATAGTTCAGAAGTGGTATAGACAGTTGACATTTTGCAGTAATGTAGTAAAAGTTCCAGACATCTATAATTGCAGTTGAATAGGGGACCATTTTTGCCTCACAGCAGCTAGCTCTAGAGAGATTCTCCAGACTCATCAAGGAAGTACCGGTTCCTACTATCACCAAGGGCATGTCAGAAATATGAAGGTTTCTAAACTAGAAACAAGGGCTGTGTCCAGGGTCCTGAACTCATAGGGAGCAAGAGTTAGGCTCTGGGCAGCAACACAGGTGTGGCTAAGGTTATGTGCCCTGGCAGCAAGTGACAGAGCAGATTAGGGTCCAGGTGAATAAGAAAGTCTAAATTCCTAGCTGGTTAGGTGGCCTTTTAAAAACCAGGGAGAAGCCAGTAAGAGAGCAGAGAGAATGTGGCAGCAGTTAAGGGTTCTTTTCTTAAATTCTTTGTGCATAAGTCCATATGAAAGGTGGTAGTAGCTTAGCTGAAGTCTAAGGGTAAAACATATGCCACTCCATCTGCATCTACTGCAGGCTGGCAATGTCAGAGAACAGGTGTCTGAGTCAGGATAGGTAGGTTTAGTTAGATGTTGAATTAGGACAAGAGAAAGACAAATACCATCAGGTCATGGAGACCAGATGGAAAGGACTGGGAATTCACCTAAGAGCCTGGGGGACAAAGGGTGAGGGGCTCAGGCATAGTGATAGGACCATGAGCTCTAAGACCTGATAGGGAGTTCCAAGTAGTGGGTTCAAGACCACCAGGAGGCACTTGATCCTACTGCCTTCTAAGGTAGTAGCTTCTTCCTGCCACCAGCTGGGACTAAAGTTAGCACACATTTAGCCACCAAGTTTTGCCTATCCACTCCCTTTGGATCCTGGAATGCTTAATAACCTTGGGGCCAACTTCCACCCTACTGAGGCCACCTGACCATATTAGCACTCCCTAATCCTAACAGGTCTGCCTGCTACACATGTGATTCCACATGTACATACATAACCTGTAGTCATCAGTGTCTTCCGCACTGGTTTCCAGCCCAATATGTGGATATGAACCTAGCTACATTCTGAGGCTGACTCCCAAGAGTGTAGCAATTCCAGGCCACTTTCCTTTGTAACACTGATTTATGAGCAAGATTGCCTCAACTTACCAGTTCTGCATTTTTCTATTTATTCCATATTAATCAGTGGCCCCTTTCCCCATTTCATTTATGCAGATGCTTAGGCCAAAGGAACATAACATTTTTTTTTGGCCACGATATAATCTCACTATCCTGTATCTTCTTAGAATAATTATGATGGAAAATAAAGCAAGCTTTTCAGTTATTCAAATGACTTCACCTCCTTTAGATTTATCTAACTTGCATATTTGGCTTGGATGATCTCGTGATTTGTCAAACCATTAGCTGTACAAGACAAGACTGTCCCTCAAGTGAGAATCAAGTACCTCCCAAGCATGTTGCTGTGCAAGGGGTGAACCCGGCATACTCCCAGTGGTAAGTCATCCTGCTGTCCTCCTGGAGAGAGGCATCCAGCTCATGGGAGGCAGGGCTCTCCTCACACGGCTTCAGGAGGCAAGGCCGCTCGGTGGGCAGCTCAGGGCCTTCACACTCTTCCTCAGGCAGCTCGGTCTCTGTCTGTGTGAACGTGAGGAGCACGCGGCACTTCACCTCTCGGACCTGGATGCCCAGCCCGCATGTGGTGCTGCAGGCTGACCAGGGTTCCGGAATGAACCTACAGAAAACCCGGAGCCGGGGGAGGACAAACAACCATTACATATGCATCACAAAGGTGACATGCATGCTCCGAAGAGAAAAAGTAACTTCATTCTGAGGGAGTTCGGAACATTGGAAACGCCATACCTTTACTGATGCTCAATTATGTTGCTAGCAAATTTTCAAATCTTATTAGCAACAGAATTTTCCCTAAAGATATACTGAATGTTTTCATCCACTTTATGACTCAAGTTCTGTGCTATGACCCTTGCATAATATCATCAAAATTAGGGGGCACCCGGGTGGCTCGATTGGTTAAGCATCTGACTCTTGGTTTTGGCTCAGGTCATGATCTCAGGGTCATGAAATCCAGTCCCACATCCAGCTCCACACTTAGTCTGCTTCTCTCCCTCTGCTTTTGCCCCTCCCCACAGGCTGTCTGTCTCTCTCTCCCTCAAATAAACAAATAAATTTTTAAAAAATATATTAGGTTTTTCAAATTTGGTAATAAGTAAATCATTCCTGGATAATTTCTAATCTGATTTCTTTTATATTATGGAGCTTTTTCACCAATATTTATTCATCTAATCTTTATCAGGCTTATCCTTTAACTGGCAAGGTTTTATTAAACCCTCAATTTTTAGGGCTAAGCTACAGGATAACAAATGTTTTCTGCAGTGTAGACAAAGCTTTCATATTCTTTCCTATTTACATAAATACACTGAACTTCATCTTCTTGAAAATACCTTAGGTATTTCACAATCTAGCTGAATAAAGTATTTATTTCTGATCCTGAATTATTATCTACTGAATCAGAGGTTGTCAACCTATGGCCTACAGGTCAATTCTAGCCCACCTGTTTCTTTACAGCCTACTATCCAAGAATGATTTTGATGGCTTTAAATATCTATTTATCTAGGGTGGGGGGAAAGGATAATATTTTTGTGAATGGCATAAAATTCTATTGAAGTTTCCATAACTACAGATTTATAAAAATATAGCCATGGTCACTTAGTTGCCTATTGTTTACAACTGCTTTGCTATATGGCAGAGCTAAGTATCTGCAACAGAGACTATTTGGCCTGTAAAGCCTAAAATATTTACTATCTGGGGCTTTGCAGAAGATGTTTACTGATTCCTACACTGAATTTAAAGCATAAGTTCAGTAGGGACATAAGTATTTAAGATATCCTGAAGCAACTTACATCATGAGACATTCTCAAGTGACAGACAAGGAAGAGCTCAGTAATAGAATAAGTCTGGGGAATTGTGGGTGTAGTCATGTTAAACGGGTTAATTTACTACAAACTCTCCTAAAGACTATGATATATGAACACATACCATAAATGCTAAGAGGGGAATATGGTGTGCATCATTTCCTAAGTTTAAGTGAATACAGACCTTTCTCTGCAGGATAATGTGCTAAGTCACGTCAGAAAGTGATTAAGATGTAGGTCCAAGGCTTAATGTTCAAAAGGTAACAAGAGTCTCTTGAGTCCTCCAAACTTCTCTCCCGAGACAAGACCTCACAGTTGTCCACAAGAGCGCATTCCAATCAGCAGAATGAAACACCATTGCTGTGTATGAGCCCAGTAAAGAGCTATCAGGAAACTCTTCAAATTTTGTTTATTGTGTTGAAAACTGTTAGTGGGGAACTCCCTCTCCTAACCTTCCTAGGCCAGGAAGGGCTCTCCCAAATCCCAGGATGGAGTTGTACTGTAATAATATTTGCAAAATATTCTTTTCTTTCCTTGCTGTTTCCCCAGGAGAACTGGAATGAAAACACTTGAATAAATTGATTGAATTGAAACACTTGATTAAACTCTTGGTTTTGGCTCAGGTCATGATCTCAGGGTCATGAGAGTGAACTGCCCCTGTCAGGCTCCCTACTCAACAGGGAGTCTGCCTGAGATTCTCTCTCTCCCTCTGCCCCACCCCTACTCATGTTCTCTCTCTCTAAAATAAATAGTCTTTTTTTTTTAAGGAGGTGGGTCTATATTAATTGAGCAGGAATAGTCTCCTCTTGGAGACAGTTAAATGAAGTAAGTTTGGGGTAGTTTATATACTATGATCTTTGGTCTAAATACACACAGAAAGGTATACAGACACATATATAGTATATATGCTATGTAACTATATATTTATAACACATATGTCTATATATGCTGATTTATGTATAATTTCTCTTTTCTGGAAGCAATCACATGTGTTAGGGTCTAGTGTATATAAAAAGGGGGCTTCCATTTTTTGTTTGTAGCTTTAAAAGTTATGAATTTTCTAAACGTGTGCATACTGTACTTTAAGGGACACTATTTTCCCCCTTCTCTCCTTAGTAATAAAAACTTAAAATTTGGGATTTTGCTTTAATGGGAAGTAGATTTATTTCATTCAGACTAGACTCCTGTGTCTCTTGTGATAGATTACAGGGTAGGCAAGAAGGCTCACCTCATTTCCCAACAGAGCAAATGATGGTTGCATCCAGTGCTTTCCTAAGGCATCTTGTATGTTTCAAGTTGGTTTTCAGAGGTCCTTTTAAGGGTCCTCTTAAAAACCAGATGCAAGAGCTGTCCAAATTAGCCATGAGTGATTTCAGGGGAGGGGGGTAACCTCACACTTTATGCATAAATGAGCATGATTTTCTTCTGTGGATTTTTAAAAATTTTCATTTATTATTGCTAATTTAAACAAAAGATATTACAGTGTTCATGCAGTTCTGAATCTTGTTTTTTTTCCTTCATAGAAAAAAAAATTTAAGGATACAAAAATGGAGCAGAGCCACATGAAAACATCTGGAGTGCCATGTCTATGCCAAACGCAACCAGAGAAACAGGGCACGTTCCCTACGTCTGTAAACAACAGAACTTAGAATAGCACTTCACTACCATGAGAGTTTAGACATGAGATGATAAAAATGACAGAATAAAATGGAAAACTATGGGGCTGAAGAAATAAACTGTGAAACCTAAGGACATGGTTACAAATCTCATCAGGAATTCAAAACCTGGAAAATGCAGAAGAAACAGGGCTGATGATCAAATTGATGACACAGAGGCAGGACTTGGAAGTGCATGCAGTGCTGAGAGGGAGAAGCTTTTGGAGCAATTGGAGGGGTGGAGGGGATGGACAAGCTGCAGAGGGGACTTTCTGGGGTAACGGAAGGGTTCCGTGTCATGCCCGAGGTGGGAGCTACAGGGCTGTCTCCACCTGATAAGATGCATCATTTTAAATAGACACAGCTTACTGTATATAAATCACACTTCTCCAAAATGGATTGTTTATTTTTTAATTTTTTTAATTTTTAAAAGATTTATTTATTTGAGAAAGAGAGAGACAGAGCATGAGCACAAATGCGAGGACAGGCAGAGGGAAAGGAAGGGAATCTTAAGCAGACTTTGCACTGAGCACAGATCCCAACATCCCATGACCCTGAGACCATGACCTGAGCCAAAAATCAAGAGTCAGACACTTAACTGACTGAGACACCCAGGTGACCTCAAAATGGATTTCTTTAAATGGCAGTTTTTAGAGACAAAATGAGAGAGAACCTAAAAAATCCGATATTGAAGATATGTGGATTCTGCAAGTAGAGGTTCTAACATGTGACCAACAGAAAAAGTGTTCAGAACTAAAATATGTAAAAAGAAAAAAAGAGTGTCTAAAATACAGCTTGGAAAGGCACACTGTCTTCCAGGAAAAAGTGATAAAAAAAAATGATGAGCATAAAAACCTAGAGTTTCAGGCAGGATAGTGGCCACCCCAAATGCTTATACCCTAGTCCCTAGAACTTATAACTAGGTTATACTCCATGGCAAAAGGAATTTTGCAGATGTGGTTAAGATTATGGACCTCAAGATAAGGAGACTGTCCTAGCAGGATAATCTAAACTTTTAATGAGTCCTTAAAAACAGTGAAACATCTCTGGCTGAAGTTAAAGAGATGCAAGAAAAGAGCAAGAGAGATTCAGAACATGAAGGGCACTCAACCTGCTGTTGCTGGCTCAGAGATGGAAAGGACCAGGAGCCAAGGCATGAAGGCAACCTCTGGAAGTTGAGAACAATTCTCGGCAAACAGCTAGCAAGGAAGTGGAACTTTCTTTTTTTTAAGATTTTATTTATTTATTCAGAGAGAGAGAGAGAGAGGCAGAGACACAGGCAGAGGGAGAAGCAGGCTCCATGCAGGGAGCCGACGCGGGACTCGATCCCAGGTCTCCAGGATCACTCCCTGGGCTATAGGCAGCGTTAAACCACTGCGCCACCAGGGCTGCCCAGAAGTGGAAGTTTCAATTCTACAACTGCACCCAACTGAATTCTGCCAACTATCTGAATTAGCCTGGAAGCAGATTCTCCTCCCAGGGTCCCCAGAGAGGTGCTTGGGCTACAGACACCCTGATTTTGGCTTGGTGGGACCCAGCACAGGGGACCCGGCTGAATCTGCTGGGCTAGAAAACATGTATTAAACCACTTGGTTTACAGTGAATTGTCAGAGCAGCCATAGAAGTTTAAAAGCTTTGAATTTTCTAACCTGGATAATTTTTTTTTTTAAATCAGGAACTTTGAAATAGCTTGGTAATAAAGCAAGCTATGTCCACCACTCATTTTAGAGATGAAAACATCAACAGAAATGGGGTGTTTCTGATAAAAAAAAACATAGAAAGGATGAAATTACAAAGGATTGCTCTGTCATTGGAGAAAACAAATCAAGAGAATATATGTCTGAAGTTAACGATGTACTATATGTTGGCAAATCGAATTTTTCAGAAAAGGAAACATACACCTTCTAGAAAATCAGAAACAAGAAACACTTAAAATAGAGGCCAGAATTTCAGCAATGATAACTTTAAAGGAATTAAACTATCCTATTGAAATACAAAGACTCAAATCTCAAAATCTATAGAAGATATAAACAAACTGTCCTCAGAAATGTAAAAAGTGTAAGGAATAAGAAATGGGATAGGAAAATGTAAAAGGCCAGTATACATTTTAGGAAAGAAAAGATGACATTATTCTTTGATTATGACTT